TGTATAATATAATCCTGCTGTAAAATTCATAGCTCCTTCAATAACATGCACTTGCCTGCAGACTTTCTTCAAATTGCTTGACATGGATAACCCAGTGTTTCCGCACGGTAGTTTGCTGCAGTTGTTAACTGCTTTCATGGCTAAAGGTCCACGCACAGTTTGCTCTGGTTTTAATTTCCACCTGTCTTTCTTTTCAGTATTCTTTTTTCCCTGCTAGATTATAGGGGCTGTTATTGAAAACTTGTATGAATTCTTCAAGACTTTTTCAGTAGGCCCTTTATTTCTAGCTGGTGGCAGTGGCAACCGGAAAGCAGGTTTTGCACAGGTAATGCAGTTCTATAGTTTAAAATAATCTAAATGGGAGCTGTCAGAGACTCCTCATCCTCAGATGCACAGTCACGCTCTTTCCTTTGGGTCAGGTTTATGCCATTTAAAACTAATCCATCCAAAGAGGGGATCTGCCTTTGGCTGGGGCAGCTTGCCAGCCGGGCCGCCACACAATCACACAGGCACTAGGGCAAGCACGGGAGATGAGGCAGGATGATGGCAAACTTTAAGCTGCGGTGGACTGGCACTCTCAAAAGCCTTGGGACCCCTCTCAACTACAAAGAGCCATCTTAGCCTGCTTGGTGGACCACCAGTACCACATGGAAACTCTACAGCTCTGGAAGCCGCTGTCCCACCGTCCATCTCCCAGTGAGGCTGGCAACTGGTGCGTGCTCCCTGCCGGCACTGGTGAGGAAGTCCTTGATGAACACAGGGGTAGCATCCTCAGCAGGATCTCTGTGGTGGCCCGTCCCTTCTGCAGCGTGACAGCTGCTCCCTGGTACCCCAGCTCCATCTGCCTCTCCGTCGGGAAAGGGATAGCAATCTCCCTTCCTACCAGGTTTCCGTCTCACCCTATCAAGTGCGAGGCGACTGTCGGTCTCACCTCCTCTGCGGCCAGCTGACATCCTACAAAGGTCCAAAAGGCCCTTGCAGACCTTTTTTGCAACAGTTTTGCCCACAGCTGTCTCGTACAGGGCTGCACTACAACAGTCCTCCCAGCGACAGATAATCAGCACTTTCAGACTCTCTTATCTCATACAGGGGAGGTAGAGTAAGGTTACGCATCCCACATGAGGCGATAGCTTTACCATAGCTCTTTCTAATGAAATCTGACATTTTACCTCTTGCTCAGAAACCTGCAAAGTCCGGCCTATGCTGGGGAAAACTTGCAGCTACGTGGTAGAGATCCCTTTGGACAAAAAGGCTTGAGGAAGAACTGAAGTGTTGGCGTCTCTGGAGACAAGAAGGAAAAGCTGTGTCTGGTTATGTGTGGGGTGGTAATGTTTTGCACAGGCATCCTGCTAAGAGCTAAGGGAGAGTGTCCTTATCTACGGGAGGAAAAGCGAGTGCTCTGTCTCCTTTCACCATAGAAGAGACCTGAACCTTACAATGGGCAGAAAAAAAGTGGCTGTGCCATAGTCTTCAGTGGTGTCACATGTAACAAACCTTGGAATTACCAGAAGATATGATGCCTCTTGTCTACACTGCATCAGATTTCAGTGCTGAATGCAAGTCATAGCTCAGTTAATGGTAAGAGATCAGAATAGAAATCCAGATTTTGTTACAATTTATGTTTTGCAGTTCAAAATCTACTCATTGCATGAGAGCTACTATAAAACAGAGGAGCGGGGCAGTTTTCAAGCCGGGCCAGACATTTGATTTTCAGTGGCAAGAGCCTATTCAGACGTTGCAAACGAGGCCAGTAAGGAATTATTTGGCCTGGCTTCCAGTCTAGGTTGAAATGGGAAGTGTAACCAGTTCATAACCTCTGACATTAAAAAGGTGCTTGCAGTTTGAGTCCTGAATGAGAAGCCTCAATCTAGAAAGAGTTAAGGCTAACTGCTGTCAGCTTTCTTCTGCGTGCTGACTGCGCTCCCACTTAGATGGATGTGGCCATGTAACAGACCTTAGCAGCAAGCTGATGCGTTTCCCAGCAGACTTTCCACGTGTTTGATTTCCCGCAGGGAAACTCGGCTCAGACGGAGAATCCCACTCGCGATGACCATCCTACAAAGCAGCCAGGGATCGCACAGTAAGGGAAGGCTCCTCACAGCCCCGCTGTTTGGTTTTAATCTCCAAGCCGGTGATTCACAACCTGGAATCTGGATCCCGGTGTGGCTTCCCAGGTAACCGCTCCTCTAGGCCTCCTTTCCGCACCATGCTTGCCATTGGCATCGCAGGACTACTCTGAGGGGTAAGGATAGCAGAAATTGGATTCAGAAGCTGGGACGTTGGGGTTTCGCTGTGCTTACCTCTGATCTTTCTGTATCTGTTCTAACACCCCCGGGAGGCTGCAGTGAAGCAAACTCCTGGCACCCATCTCAAAAGAGCAGCCCACTGACCCCGTGCAGTTGCTAGAAAACCACTCTGAGAGTGTCAGAGAGCCGTTTCTACCTCATCTCAAAAATAAAAAAAAATAATTGTCAATGCAAACCACACACACAGGAGCAAACGGGGGCCTCAAAACCACAAGATTAACTTAAAAAATAATGGGATTTTAATAACAACGTATTGGGAGATTCTTTAGTGGTATGTATTTGTTTTCTGAGCACTTGTAAGGAGACAGGACAGGGAGGTGGGAGACCCCTCGACTTTAACAAGGAGGAGGCGAGCCAGACACTTGTGGATGGGGAGGGGAGAGCATTGCCCCGGTACTCACAGATGTGCGAGGATTTTTATGGAAATCATGACTTAAATAAGTAAGAGAAAAAGCAAGCGGTGCCCTGACATCCATTCCCAGGTTTCTCCTGCCTGTCAAGGCCACCGGCCTGCCCCAGTTCCCAGCAGGAACTGCCACAGCCGACATCGACAAGGCCGGCCCCGCCGTCGCCATGGCAACACCCGGCCGTCGGCAGCCGCCATCTTGGGAGCGGCGGCGGTGCTGCCGCCGCCATCTTGGGGGCGGCGCCCTGCTCAGTCGCGGCGGCTCCGCCGCCATGTCGGTGGTTCCGGGTTGCCGGGGCGGCGGCGGCGGCGGGATGGTGCCGGTCCTACCGGGGCTCTACGTGGGCGGCGCGGAATCGTGCTCGTCCCCGGAGTCGCTGGCGGCGGCGGGGGTGGTGGCGGTGCTAACGGTGGAGGCGGAGGAGGAACCGCCGCCTCCGCCGGGGATGCGGAGCATGCACGTCCGGGCGCGGGACGAGCCCGGCGCCGACCTGCTGAGCCGCCTGGACGATTGCGCCGCCTTCATCGACGCGGCGAGGGCGGACGGCGGCGCCGTCCTCGTCCGCTGGTGAGGGCCGGGGCGGCGGCGGGCCGGCCGTCGTGTGTCCCGTCCCCCCGGGCGACGTTCCTGTACGGCCGGCCCGTCCTTTCCTTTTCCTCTCCTGTCCTTGCCTTGCAGCCAGGCCGGGGTGAGCCGCAGCGTGGCCGTGGTGACCGCCTACCTCATGAAGACGGAGGGACTCGGCTGGGAGGAGGCTTACGCCGTCGTCAGGACCGCCAAACCCGACGCCGAGTGGGTCCCCGGCCCCTGCCCGCCGTCCCCCCCGTTCTCGGCCCGGCGCCTCCTCACCCCGCTCTCCTCTCGCCCTCCGCCGCAGGGTGAACCCGGGTTTCCGAGGGCAGCTGAAGCTCTACGAAGCCATGGGCTGCGCCGTAGACAGCAGCAGCGCCTTCTACAAGAGGTACCGGCTGCAGATGCTCACGGAGAGGTACCCCGGTGAGTTGGGGAGCGGCGGGGCCGAGCTGGGCACTGGGGAGCACCGGCCTTGAGCCCGGGTGGGTGCTGGGAGCGAAGCTTGGGGCAGTTTCCTAAGGAGGTTGGTCCCAGGTGGGACCGGTCTGTCTGAGAAGTGAACGCAGAAGGCCGTCTCAGAGGTGGTTGGCTTTGAGTATCGCCCTCGGAGCAGCCGAGCCTTGAGTTGGCTAGCCAAACGTTCGTACTGGCCCTAGAGAATTGCTGCTCATCAGTGGGGAGAAAAAGTGTCTTTGAGAGATGCCTGAGAAATAAGATCCGTAAGGAACTGTTCTCTTTAACAAAACGCTGAAATGGTAAAAGGTCAGTTTGAGAAGTTTCCTGATTTTTATGGACCTGGCTAAGCAAACTTAACATCCTCTAAAAAGAAGTTGACGAAAGTAAAAAAATAGCAAGTGCAAAACTGAGATGAAGTTGAAATCAAGGCATGAAGTAAACTTTCATACTTTAATTTGCCAAAGAGTGACTGTAGTAGATATGTGTGCGTATGCGTAATTTTATAATAAAATAATAACCTGTAGCTTTTTTTGCAAGATCTGTGTTGCATATTCAGCGTGACAGCACTCTCTCCCTTCATGTGTCACTCTCCTTGGCAGTTCACATTCGCAAGCTGACTTTCTGTATTGTGCGCACTAAAAGATTGGCAGAACAGTCCTAACTCCTCCTCTGCCTTTACTTTCTCTTTAAGTAAGAACATAAAGCAAAAGGCAACTATTTTACCATTGCTGAGGCCAAAGTCTAGATCCCAGTTTCTTGCATCAAGCAAATCCCGATCTTAGGTGTGGTGGGATGAGGCTCTTTCATTTTTAGCTTATCTAATGGAATTGGTGAGTGGGAAAATGAATGCAAAGAACGTGGCTTCTGCATGCTGTGACTGGGGCAGAGGTGCAGTGCTGTCTTGTCCCGCGGAAATGGCAGCGTGACTGCGTTGATCTGATTCACAACTTGGTACTGACCTCCCTCTGCAGAACTTCAAGACTTGCCCCGAGAAGTCTTTGCTGTTGATCCAACCAATATATGTCAAACTCCGAACACAGAGGTTCTCTACAGGTGCAGGAAATGCAGGTACTGAACCTTTTCTATTTCTCCATGAAATGTCATTTTGAAATTGACCCAAGAGAAAAATAGCCCATTTAAATCAATGGGCATGTCATTATTGTCAGGACAGGGATGAGCTCATGCCAAAGTTACCATACCATGTGTGCCACAAAAAATCAGACAAATAAAAGTATCTTATGAAATACAAACCTTTTTGTTCCTTGAAGTTGTGCAGCACTTGTGCAGCCTAACCTGCCGTGTTGTGTAGGCAGGCATAATTCCGCTTGGCTCTGTGAAGTTGCTTGCTCTGAAACCGTAACTTCTAGTTTGTTTTTGACAATCGGTTTCTCCAGAAGCAGCTTCTGGTAGATTTTGGGGTTTACTGCATTTTAACTACCTTTTATGGATTGCTTAAAGTGAAATTGAATAATCCTGCTATTTCCCAGCTGTAGGTTTCTTCAAGTATGTGAGTGTAGATTTAAAGTTTTAGTAGGCAGGAATCGTTTGAAAATAGATCTATATAAAAGACGGCATACAGCTGTGGGGCAGAGCCCAAACTGACACAAATCACTAGATTTGTTAAGGAGCAACCCTGCATGGAGTCAGTGCCTGCTGACCTTTTAGACTAAATTAAAAAAATGTAGGATTTGTAATCCTGTTCACTCACTCACTGTCAAGAGGTCCATGTCCCTGTTTTCTATTGTCTGTAGGTTTTCCCAGTAAAAAAACAACTATTTTACTTCTTTTTTCCCCCCTTTGTCATGGAGGGCAGGCGCGCTCTGTTCCGTAGTTCCAGCATTTTGTCCCACACGGAAGGAAGTGGACCAACAGCCTTTGCCCACAAGAGGATAACAGACTCTGCTCGGTTCTGTGGCGATGGCCGCGAAAAGTGTACCTCTTACTTCACCGAGCCTGTGCAGTGGATGGAGCCAGCGTTGCTCGGAGTAATGGAAGGACAGGTGAAGGGGAGCATGTGCTTTATTTTTTGGATATTGTTTTTTTGCAAAGGCAGAACAAACTGGTTTTGTTTCCTGATGTGAAAGCCCCCATGTGAAGACCTAGGCCTGCCAGCCTTTCTGGTGTGAATTTTGCAGCTTATCAACAGGTTCTTAAATGTTAAATAGCCTTTTATAAGGAAACGAGCTGGTGATCTCGTTGGACTGAGAACAGGAGCCAGAGTGTTGGACAGGGTTTATCTGCTGTTCGTTTTTAGTATGAGAAAAGAGTTTGCAGGACTTAGAAAACCTGTTGTGGTCTCTGGCTGACTGTCCCAGAACTACAGTGGGTCTGAGCAACTGCATTTCCACATCCCTTCCCTTTTGCCAGCACAGCACAGCCCAGGGCTACGCAGCCATGCCAATTCAGCTTTTTTGCCTGTTTTTCAGCCTGTTTACCTTCTGTGAAGTGTGACAAGGGAAGGAGCTGGCTCAGCGCAGGTTGCCACAATTGAATGTACCCCAGAAGTACCCTTTAAATAGCCCTGCGTGCGCCTTAGACTGGGTCGTCTGTTTTTCTTGCAGCTTCTGTGTCCGAAATGCACGTCGAAGCTGGGCTCCTTCAGCTGGCAGGGTGAGCAGTGTTCCTGTGGCCGCTGGGTGACGCCTGCCTTCCAGATCCACAAAAGCCGAGTAGACGAAGTGAGGACGCTGCCAGGTGGTAACTTCCAAACTGCCAAAACCTGAACTCGTCGCTTCTCTCGATGGGTTTCTCAAGGTCTGCAGAGAACTGCTGGCTAGTCCGTGGTTGCCAGGAGCGAGCTTGTGACTTCCACCTCTTTGTAATGCAGTGGGATTACTTGGAACATCTGCTCTATTCAAGCTTGCTGTATCTCTAATATATATAATATATAAAAGAGCAAAATAATTCCTTCAAGGAGGTGTTACACAGTGGTCAAATATGTACAAAAATACCTGAATGTCATGTTTTTAGCATATTCTCACTTCATCTGTTGCTATTTAGAGAAGGTCTCAACTCCTTATTTAAAAGGAATGCCAACATGTTTCAGGCTGTGGCCAGCAGTGGTGCTTGTCTAATGATCCAAAGTTCCAAGTGGTTTGTGTGAAGCAGGCAGCTGAGATTGTAGGACGTGCATTCCACATCATGAGGTACGCAGCAAGAAGATATTTTAAGGCTTGGCCAAGTGCCATAAAATGGTACAATTGCAATTGTTGTGTGAGCATGCATGGCAGCTACTAGCAGTGAAAGGGAAGTTTACAGTTACTTTCATTGTAATAAAAGTAGTCCTAAAAATATCTGCCACAAGAATATTTACTACATTGTAACTTTTATGTAATAGCTGAGGAGATTATGCAAGCTGTACTGGAATGGGAGAACTGAAGTAAAGTGTCCCTGCCAAATTGCTGCTTACAGGTTCAAAGAAATTCCTAAAATCATGAAGTAAGATTTTAAGCAAGCTGTGAGCATGCTGTGTACACCACTATGGCACAGGTTTGGTTTGACATAAGAAAATAGGACAGATAAGACCTACTTTAAATCAATTTTATTTTCATTGACTTCAACATTTTTTTAAATTTCTTTTTTTACACAATTTCCAGCAACATACATTATGAAATATACAAGATAAAGTAGGTGGTGGGGTTCTGCCCATCTTTTAATTCCTCCCACAGCTGTGGGGGAAGACTTGCAGGACATCTGAATCTCAACACTGAAAACAGACACAAAACAAAAAAGACAAAAATATATATGAAACTGTTTGAACTGGTCACACTTCAGGGCCAGGTACAGCACAATAAATATTAGAACTGCATTATCTTAGACATCTTCTGTAAAGTTTATAACATCGTCTATTTAAAGAGATAAGAACATCTGGTTTCTAGCATGAAATGCTACATAGTACAGTGGTGAAGGGTACGAACGATGAGGAATCAGCAAGGGCTTGGACGGTGACTATTCATTCACACATGCTCATTGGTAAAATAAGCAGCATACACCAAAAGTTTAGTGAGCTGTAAACTTAAACCATTCACTACCAGAGTATCAGCTGGCGGAGTAGTTTCTTTGGGGAGAACCAAAAATAGTTAATCCCTTTAAGTTTCAACCAGGCTCTCCCCTGACAAACAGCGAGTTGATGCCATAATGGAAGTGGCAGCATTTGGTCCGTAGCACAAGATCCCTTTGCATCACTACTGTTCAAAGCTGGCAGCCGGTGGAAATACTTCAGTGCAGAATTAACGCTTACATAGCCACGCCACTGCCATGGTGTCACCGACAACGGTTACTGTTTCATGACTATAACAAAGCAGCAGACATCAGCTGGAACCCAGCTGGGCACAGAGAGCTGCACAACCGAGCAGTGCAGATGCCACCTGACACAAGTGAGAGGGAGAGACTGGAGAGGATGCCAGCATTTCTCTCTCTGTCATGGCAGCAATGGTATGGAGTGCTGGGCTCCTGGATTTGGACAGAAATGCCACTCTATGCTCATGCCTCATCTCGTACTAGTTTTGCCAATAAACAAGCCCAAGACACAGCAGTTGCAGCTGCTTGACAGAGTGCTTCCAGAGCACAAGACCAGTCACTGGTTTTTCTTGCATCATAATCAAGAAGGCAGGAGTAAATACATTTTGTACTTATCAGCCTTCCCCCGTTCATCCCCCGCCCCCAGTTTAGCATCATACATTCCTCCTACACGAGAACTGGGGACCTTCTGTGCCACAGCCAAACAGGCCACGTGAGCACAGGTGGAGGAGGAAGGCTAAGCACACGCTTTCCTTTCCTTAGCATGTCCAGGGCGTTGCACTGGGAGGCAACTGCACCAGCAGACAAGAGCACCGCCGAGGAAGGACTGTGTTCCTGGTCTGCACACATGGCATCACTGTAACTTGCTATCTATGTCCTGCAGTACACAGCAGCAGTCAAACTTCACAAATTAAAGCAGCTGAGTGTCAGGAAATGTTACGGGGTGAGTGGAAGGCAAGAAGGTAAAATTCTACTGGAAGCCGAGCACCTATGGCTTTGATTTTAGCTGATGCCAAGTCCAACAGTCCTATCTGTATTAAGTAGGAAAATAAAATTCTGTTTCTCCAGCGTACAGAAGTATATTGGTGGCTTATACGTGCTCATCTTCTAGCTAGTCCCTTCTTGGAGAGATCCAGAACTACCACATTTCAATACCAACAGGCTCAGCTGAGAGTTGCAGAAGGAACAGAGTAGTGAAGAATTTTTGGTTTTATCAACATATCATCAGAATGTGGTCAAAAATTCTGTTCGAGAATAGGGAGTTCTACGTCATGATAGTCACTTAGCAAAGTGCCAGATGTAAATGCCCTTACCACTGCCAGCTCAGAACGTACCGTGTGACTGCATTAAGATCTACACCTCCTCTGCCGGTGCAGCTCAACTGGTTACAGCCCAAGGTGAAAGACCGGTTACCAGGAGAGCTGGGAGAGGCAAGGTGAAATTTTTCCCACCCCAGAAGTGTACAACAGCATTTCCTCACTCAGCCAGGCCCATTCACACATCATTCACCATTTCAGACACACACAAAGCAATGCCAAACACAAACTAAGAGGAATGTTTTGTAAGGACACTCTCTGAGTATGAACAGGGAAAACATAGGGGTATTTATCAACTCAAGTACTGTTGCATCATTCTTGTAAGGTAGGGAAGCAGAGGAGTTGAGATGAGGAATTGAGAGGACAAACTGGAGTGGTCACAGAGGTCGAGTCTAGTCTTCCAGACTGCGAAATGCATTCTGCATATCCTCAAACAGCTGAGCATAGTCCGCCTTGATTTTTGTTTCACCATCTTTGACAGGGTCCTGAAAGACAACACCACAAATGAACAGATCAGTCAGGAAAAGCCTTGGGTACTTAAGGCAGCCCTGCTTTGCCAGTGCTATAATTTCTCGACCTCAGGATTAACACTTGCTAACTGCAGCGCAGACGTTATAGCTCCATCTCCGCCTCCTGTCTGCCTTGCCAACAGCCATGAGGTTTAAATCTCATCCTCTTTCCACATTCAGTGAGCAGGCAGAATGGATACTGGACAGAAATTTTTTTGTGAGCAGCAGTTACTTTATTAAAAAGCAACTGATTTGGAAAGGATTCAGTAGTACTGAGGGTCTCTGTTAATGCTGTGTGATTCAAGAGCTGCAGTAATTAATACCAGCTCCTATCCCCAAACCCAACAGAGTAAAGATCTTTGTGACTCAGAAATGCTCTGCTCTACTTTTTGGGGTGCATCGCCTATAGGTGCAAGAGTTACTTTGCCATCACTCAGAGTTCACTCAGTTCCAATTAAAATCTTACTGTGAAATCATAAAAAGCTTAAAAACAATTTTGTACAGCTTCATTTTCTCAGAATACTTTTCATGAAAGAGAAGGGCAAAAAAAAAAAAATAACTATCAGCTTTGCTCTGAGGCTGGGAGGCCTTCCTTGCAAGAAGCATTAACTGCCAAGCTGTGCAATCTGTTCAATGTCTTCACCATTCCTCTCTCAGCACTACACTCCTTTGGGTCAGTGCAGCTCTTGGGAAACACAGAGGACTTACATGTGTGGATGCACTGCTCCTTCATTGTCTCTCCAAAGTCCACAGACTGCAGGATGCAGAACATTTAAATTCTCACACCTTTTAGACTGTTACCCAGGAAACAGAATTTTCCTTTCGTAACTATTACTGTGTTAGAGGGCTGGCTCCACTTAACATGTATTCACCCTCTGGATTCCCTTTTTCAGCCATGCTGTCCACCACTCTCCTGTATGCTAGGTGTCTTCTGATGGCCAGGGTTTGTAAAAAGCATATTACTTCCCCTATCTCTATATAACCAGCTCTCAAAGCAGCTCATGTCCCCAAGTGTATCTTATGTTCTTGATGCTTTGACAATATATATTAGGGATCTGCTTACTGCAGAAATGAGCCAGTACCTTGCAGGAACAGAATACACTGGCATGCCAGAACACTTAGTTTTAAACATAATTTTATCTTATGGTACTTGTTCACAAAAGATTTGCAATATTAGCTTATAAGAGTTGTAACACAGTAAGCATTATACTTCATAGAGAATATTCCTTAGGTACTTTACCATCAGCCAGCATCACAGGTTACTGTCCTACCAGTAACTGCTACACCAGCATGCTCCGGAACAGTTTTAGGAGAGCTGTACCCTAAAAAGACAGCTACTGAAGTTACCCAGAGCAGGTGCTCTGAGCCACTTCTTTTCTCTTTAGCCCACGGTGAAGTTACTCCTCCCTTCCTCTCCTCCTAGTCACCTGCCTCAGGCCCTGAAGTCAAACACAGGGCACATCACGTATTACTGCAGGAGTCTAGCATTTCTTTCCTTAACTTCTACTTAAAATAGCTCGATCAACATTTCTATCATTCACTTTTTAGCACATTCCTGGATTTAAACTTTAGGCTGCTTTTATCTGCGAATAGTCTCCTTAGAACATGTTACAATTTTTTACAGAATTTTATCACAAAAACCTCAAAACAGCCAGGAAAGGTGCTTGTACTATTACCATGAATACATGTAACTTAAAAGAGACTATTGAAGGTGGGGTTGCTAAGGCTCTGCAGCCAGCACCACCCAACTAGGCTTCTGTACTGACCGTTCCTGTGCTCAAACTAAAACCAGTTCTTTAAGTGGATTCAAAATGATTGCAAAAAGTCTCTGTTCACAGACCTTTACCTGAGGCAACTGAGGACCACCTTTGAGTAACAGCCTTTCAGAGGCCCTGGAAGCTCACAAAAAGCAGTGCAACCTGGTTCCTTACAACATACCTTGAACTTCATGGAGGTAAGTCTGAAGAGGATTTCACTCATGTTCTCTCGGATGATGGACCACGTGATCTTATTGTCACTCTGGGCTGTGGTTTCTACAGCACGGCGTGCCATGTCATAAAACGCAATCATATTGGAAAGCATTCCTACCGTTTTATAGAAGGGGCAGAACCTGATGGAACAGAAGAGGATCTGTCAGGCATCTTGGAACAGGACTAGCCTTTGCTCCTGCCTTCACAACAACTTTGAATTCTCACCTGACAGAAAGAGTGCTAGCCTGCTTTACTCCAGGTATTTTTAATTCATACCATCAAAGGAGAGAAACTGCTTCTGATAGTCCCACATTTTTAAATAGGTGAATCATAGGCTAAGATGATTGTCCTGAAGTGAGGTTTCTGAAGCAGCACCCAAACACTGGGCAAAACAGGAGAGAACAGGAACCACTGCTGTACAAGTCTCACATTTCAATCTGTGCCAACGCTAACAAGAAAGGGAAAACACACCAGAGCAGCCAACGGAATTCCTCCTTCCTGTTTTGTCCATCATGGGAGGAGGCTTCCTCCAAGCAGCCTGGGATAACCTGACAGCTCTGCAAGTTTCTTTGCTCACAGGAAAGGGAGTGTTTCCATGACAAGAGCACTCCACACACAAAAATCTCCATTTTTAA